GTGGCTAATGCACTATCACGTCGGGCAGATTATCTGGGCGCCCTAGTGACGGAGTTTGGCATATCTGATGATTCAACTCGATTTTTGGTGGAAGCCTATCAACAAGATCTGGTTATGTCTGAGATCATCTGTAAATTCAAAGAGAAGGATAAAGTAACTTTTGACGAATTTACGATGGTAGATGACTTGCTGTTTCTTGAGAAGGTAGGGAATAAAAGACTGTATGCCAAATAGAGAGTCTTTGCGTAGTTTGTTTTTAGGTGAATGTCATGATGCAACTTGCCATTTCGACTATAGGAAAACTTCAGCTAACTTAGTGCAGAAATTCTGGTGGCCTTCTATGATGGAAGATGCCAAGAAGTATGTCGAAACCTGCCAGGTTTGTCAACGGAACAAACCTAGGACCAGCAGGTCTGGGAAAAGGCACATCTTTGTTATAGTAGACCACTTCTCTAAGCATGCAAGACTAATCGCTATGCCTGAAACTGCCAAAATTGACTACCCCATCAGACTGTTTATGGATAACTGGGTACGGGACTTTGGTTTACTTAAAGCCTTAAAGGGATGTTCGCTTTACATAGCGAACTGTGGCAAAATACTGCCCAACAGATGGGAACCAGACTGCAAATGACATCAGGGAAACACCCTGAGTCAAATGGACAAGCGGAACAAATGAACAGGGTAGTGCAACACTTGCTTAGGCACTACATTAAGCCAAGCCAGGATGACTAGGACGAGAAACTACCTCTCGTCGCCAGCTTGTACAACAACGCTGTACACAACGCAACTGGCATGACTCCCAACTAATTGCATCTTGGTTGGAAGCCCCGTTCTGCCCTTGATTTCCTACTACCTGAGAAACAGGCCACTGTAGCACCAGGCAGCTGTGTATCATTTTAACGCGGAACGGGGGAATTAAACTCCCATTGAATCCCGTTAAATTCAAAAAAATCCCGTTAAATTCGTGTTAAGCAAAAATGGGCCGCTCCTGGGCTTTTCAGAAAAACGGAATTGATGCGCGGGGTGGCGCTAGGGAAAAAAAAAAAAAAAAAAAAAAAAAAAAAATCCCCCCAACCCCTGAAGCACC